TTGAGGATGTGAAAACTGGCTGATGAAAGCCATTTTATCTACTTTTGATATAGACTTGCTATAAATCAACAGAGACTAAAATTTCAAAAATGAGCATATCTGCACTTGATTGTCCCACTGGGAAGAGTCTTATAGACACAGATACCGTGGGCCTAACACCCGTTCCTCATAAGCAAACGTGCCTGAGCGTCCATAGGGCAATAATGCTTCTCAACAATGAGCTTTTTATCATTTATGATAAAGAATGAGGCCGATTGCAGACTATTAGTCTATGACTGCCCCACCCAGCAGGAGTCATGCAAAGTCCTACTCAGTGAGCTCAGTGTTTAGCACAAAACCACCACGTCTGAGGCCTTAACTCCACACTGTGATCTGAAAACGGGAACAAGTGCCAGGCAACCTGATTTTGATAGCGCGAATACGTTAAGAAGCAACCGGTAACAACACAACCGGCTGAACTCAGAGGAGCTCCGAGATCAGGGAGACCCTGACGGAAATCTGTCTTACCTAGATCTGGCTTGAGTGATAGACAATATTAGGCCTCTGGAATCATATGAATTTGGTAATGAGGTGTATCCAAAAGGGAGAATAAGTAAATGAGTAATTAGGAGATTAAAAGTATTTAATAGTCAAGAATAGAGATGTTAAACTAATTGTCAATTCTGGCCTGCTGATGGCATGGTGGGCCCTATCGGAGGAGTATTCTTGTGACAAGGATGTGTGCATTTAGACATTTGTGATTCCCGTGACACGTACATGAGCATTAAGATACTTGGCGGTGTGCCTTATCCACATATGAATGTACACAGTATGGCGAATGCAGCAGCGGCTTTGGGTTTCCCTTAGTGTACTGGAGCCACGCGGGAGAGGGGGCTCATTCTGATTTGATGGCACAAGGGTGGAGTGTGATTTGCTGCTGTTCAGTCCCCAGTGGGCCCCGTTCCCTCCTGCCTCCCTGCCCCTGTCCCCTTCCTCTACCCACTGGTCTTCCTTCTATTTATAGACAGACGTCAAGGTGGGCTTCGGCGTGGCAAATCCCTCTATGTGCACGGCACAATCCGGTCCACTTCACCCCAGTTCCTCCCTTTCCTGTCCTCCCTGACCCGCTTCTTCCTCTGCTCCACCCATCTCCCTTCTATTTCCGTGGGACCCTCTCCCACTTTTCCTGTTCTTTTGCCCTGGATGCAGGCACGTCAGTTCCCAATGGCCAAGTTGTGGAAGCAGCCCCAGCAGGTGAGTGGTCCAAGGGAATCACTGATCTCAGGATGAAGCCAGAAAAGGCGGCGGAGGGCGGGGTGGGCGCTGTCCGTGGTGCTGAAAAAGCAGCACCGTCGGATAAAACCCACTTGTGAACCAGGTGATTTCCACGTCTCCGTGGGCTGAGATAACATTACAGGATCGGGGGCACCCTGGCTGAGCCCTTCTGCTCACGTGTCAGAGTGTGCACTCCTGCAGGGGACTTCCGTGGGCATGAGCATCCCGCCCACTAACGCACTGGTCAGAAAGTTCAAGGAGAGCTGCTCTGGCAACAAGATGGTGTCCCACTTGGAACTGACAACATTGTCCCTGGCCTGTGCGATGGCACACAGATCAAGGGGCTCTGCTGCAGGGCTCTGGCTGGAGTGTACCAAGTACCTGCAAGTGACCCTGAAGGACCGCTCTCCCCAGACGCCACACACGTGCCCCACAGTGAAGAAGAGCGTTGGGGCAACAGCAGGACACGGTCCCTAGCAGCTACAGAGGAGCCCGGAGCCGTCTTAAACAGGTGCAGATTATATCCTCCAATGACTCAAACCCAGAACCAGCATCCACCACAGAGAAACTTCATCCCGGAGACTCCAGGTCAGCTCTTCTTTGGGCTAAAGAATTCAAATTGCTTGGAAAGTCTTCAAAATTAACTGGATGGAAATGTGACAAGAGATGTCATTTCTGTCCTCGACGAACCATTTTTACACAAAAGCTCCGTGGCATTACCTGCAAGTGTTTCCAGTGTGAATTAATGGGGTTTGTGGAGGAGAGAGAAGAGGGAATGATGAACAGCAGCGCAATCCGGTTTCAAATGTTTTGGCTCTTCCAGATGACTGAGCCAGTGAGTGGGAAAATGTAGCTCAGCACGGTTCATTATGACTCTCAGAACCTGCAGATAATGACCGTGAATAAGGGGCACAACGTCAGTCAAACAGGGATGTAATTTAGTGACTAGGGAAAATACTAACCTCCTGTGTAACAACAGCTTTGCAAATCGCTTCCGCCGGCTGTATTTCATTTTATTTTTAAAATATACAGCAGGAAGAGTGGGGGGTGGTTTTGCTAAATTTGGCAAAATACTTGACATTTTATGGAAATGGTCTCTGATGCAGGTAAGACAAAAAAAAAAAATCTAAAGAAACTGGGTTGAGGCCAAATTCAATGTCAGTGACCCAATTTTACAAGTCAAGTCCATTGATATATATATTGATCTGACTGAATTGGAAAAAAGTTCTCTCCAGCTCACTAAGTAGATCTGAAGACAATTTGTAAAAAAACAAAAACAAAACACATTTCTGTCAACTTTGTCCCAGGAACCACTTCCTGCACCCCGTTCTCCAGCCCCAGGGCAAAGCCCTCTGCCAAGGGTCTGGGAGACAATGGGTGACGGCCTCTGGCCAGCGTCAGCACTGCGCTTCCTGGTGCTCCTCGTGAAGGCACAGGCCTCTGTCTCCGTGTCAGACACGGGGCAAGGGGACACGGAAGGAGCTACCGAGTGTGTCCTCGTCAAGCTCCACGTCACTCCAGTAAAGGGGACCAAAACTGAAGCGATGACTGCAAAATCAAATCCAGCGAGTAGCGAGGATTTCGGCAGCTTAACGGGATTATCAAAAATGAAGTAGTAAATCCACATGCTGCCGAGAGTGAGCACGGCCAGAACCCTGTTAGTCAACACTTCAGCAGGGAGAAGGGAGCGTGACATCCCCACGGCGCTGACGTCACACGTAAGTGAGGACATCGGAGGAACCAGACCGAGGGCCTGCAGTTGGTTCCACAAGTTGGTTCTAGTCGGCAACTTTCCATAATAGAGATTTTTGTTTCTGGAGAAATGTAAGACATTTAGTTGACGTCAACACTGTTCTCCCTACCCCCTTTCTCTCTCCCTCTCTCATGCAGTTTTACTCCAGAGATTACAGTTTGCTTCAGCTCCCCAAATTTGGGGCAAACCCATTTATATGGGCATGCTAAGGAAGAATTAATCATCTGAATTCTGCTGGGCATGGTGGTGCACCCCTATAATCCCAGTGGCTCGGGAGGCTGAGGCAGGAGGACGGCGAGTTCAAAGCCAGCCTCAGCAACTTAGTAAGGCCCTCAGTCATTTAGTGAGATTCTGTCTCTAAATAAAATACTAAGAAGGGCTGGGGATGTGGCTCAGTGGTCAAGTGCCCCAGGTTTAATCCCTGACACAAAATCATCATCATCACGCTCATAATTCCACAATCTTCCACAAGATAACCACTTTTATTTTTAAAATATTTTTTGGTTGTTGAGGTACCTTTATTTTTTATTTATTGCTATGTGCCTCACACGTGCTAGGAAGCACTCTGCCGCTGAGCCACAACCCCAGCTCAGACAGCAACTTTTAAAAAGCCATTTATGACAGCCAGACAGCCCGCAGCACTCGGCTGTAAAGAGATCCCACGGCTCTCGCCAGGGTACCCAAGTGACCCGGCCATGGTGCTGAGGGCCAGAGGACAGAAACACATCACCCTACCCTGATTGAGGAAAAAAGGTCTCCTGTAAACGTGTAGATTTGTGAAATGGTTAAAAGAATGTCCTGCTCTAGAAACCATTGGGCTTCAAGGAAGGCACATTTAACATAGGACTCCGTTCATCTTAAATCAGCGCAGATTCTTCAGACTGCTCCCGTCTTGTACGGAGGAGGGCGTGGACCAGGTGGCTCATCATTATTCTCCCCTCCGACTCGAAGACCACCACTGCCACTGAGGTCGGGGCACGGTGGTGGGTGCTGGACGGAGGTTTACGGCTGACTGAAATCAACTGTGGACAGGCAGGTTTACCCATTTTTTCAATGTTTTGCCGGGCTCTCCGCAATATTGTCTACTAATTTACGCTCTACAGAGTCCAGACCAGTATCTGAGTATGCGCAGCAGAAATCTCCCACGGGGCGGGGCAGGGGGAGAAGTGCCATGACTCAAGTGCAAGAGGTTCTGGAGGGTGCTGGTGTGTGGTAGTGGGAGCAGAGGGGACCCGCTTTGTTTTAGGACTCCATCCTATAAAACAACCAGGCCCCGTAGAAGGGTCAGGACTGGGGCAAGATGTTCTTCTCCTTGTGCTGTAGAAACCTTTAAGAGCACGGAACTACCTAATGGGGCTCTGTTTCTGTAACAGGGTCACGGGGCTCTGCTCTGTAACTGGGGTGACTGGGCTAACTGGGACTGGTGAGGCTTCCCTCCGCCTGACTGCACTGTCCCGCTCTGTCACCTGGCTGGCTGGCATTGGCTGGACCCCCAAACATCCCTTTGCAGTTTTCAGCCTTATAAGGAGCGCCCTGCAATTGCTGGGGGCTGATCAGGGGAACAGCCTGATGTTCTGCTCGGCCGCCTCCGGTGTGCTGCAGTGAAGGCTTGATGCGATGATACGTGAGTGCTCTGGAGTCAGCTCAAGAAACCCCGGGACGAAGCTGGAACTGTAGCAGTTGGTCACACGGAACCCAACAGGTCCAGTCTGGCCACAGGCTATGAGCCAAGGGGACGGAGCAGCTGTGACCCCTTGAGGGAGAGCGGGAGCCCCGGAAGTGCACCTACCTAGGAAGGCAGAGGGGGACACGGTGCCGTTGCTCCTGGACACCATGACGCTGATCCCCGTCTCCACGAAGGGCACGGAGAAGTCCACCACCTCCGAGCGCTCCTCGTTGATGGTCAGTGAGCCGACCGCCATGACCGCTCGCTGGTAGACCACCTGGAGGCGGAGAAGGAGCGGGGTCTGCGGCTCTGCCCCGCCGCCCGGCCCCCTGGGGAGGGCCTGCGGGGCGGGCGCCCACCTACCTCCCCGATCATCCCGTTCCACACGTTGTTGACTTTCTTGCCGTGCTTCCCGTTGGTGACCAGGTAGAGGTCGTAGGTGAACTTCACGGTCCGCGAGAGCTTCTTCAGGATGTCGATGCAGAACCCCTTGCAGCACTTTTTGACGTTCATCCCCTCGTTGGTTGAATTGCTGTGAAGGAAACCCCAAGACGGCAGAAGGTC